GGATCTTGGGCACACATGCACACGCACCCGGCGTGAGTTTAAGCCACCGGGTCTGGGACTCGAACCGCGGTTGACTACGTGGGAGTCCAGCGACATAGCCATTACGCTAACGCTGGTCCCTGAATGTGGTTCTCTTTAGGCACAGCACGGGTAGAGGAGAAAACTTGTGAGCAGCTGTACTTCCCACCCTGGAGCCAGTATACTTCTCTCTGTAGGTGGCAACCTGCAGTGTCAGGGTTGGTGGGCAGCTGTCCTGCAGCTGGCCTTAGGGGCCTCAGGTGCTCCTGCTCAGGCCTTCAGAACTTGGGCACCGAGAGGAGATGCCCTTGGGAAACCTCACCACCGAACACCTCTCTCTCTCTTTGCAGTGTGCTCCTTACCCCCAGAGCCTGAGAATGGTGGCTACATCTGCCACCCCCGGCCCTGCAGAGACCCCCTGACAGCGGGCAGTGTCATCGAGTACCTGTGTGCTGAAGGCTACATGTTGAAGGGCGATTACAAATACCTGACGTGCAAGGATGGCGAATGGAAACCGGCCATGGAGATCAGCTGCCATCTTAACGAGGGTCAGTCTCACAGATGAGGAGGGCTGCTGCTGCCACTCTGCCTTTGTTTACTTTCCTCCACGGGCCCCTTTGCTGTGGTGCAGCTTAGCTCCATCAATGCCCCACAGCCTCCTTCCTTGGGGTCTTGTGTCTTTAGGATCGCTGGTCCATGTCCCATTGCAGTTCACTGAGCCACTGAGGGGTTCATAGCCTTACTGAGGCCTCTGCCCTGCTAAGTAAAGTTCCCTTTGATGTCCAGGGTCTCATTTGCCTAGTCGAGTGCCTGTGACCTCTGACCATGTTCTGCTAACTCACAAGCAAGCACTGACACCTCCTCCAGTGTCTCTCATCATATTTGTCCTTGAATGGGCATGGACTGTCTTGTCATGGAGCAGTGGTCTAGCTGCACAGAACACTGTCTCCCTTCTGCCTCCTCCTGTCTGGCACAGGAGCGTCCAACTGCCTGTGGGAAAGTGTGTGCCATGGGACCATCTTTGTGCTTCACACCCAGAACATGCTTACCTGTGACACCACAGAGAAGGGTTGGAACCAGCCTGAGGTAGCAAAAGCAATGGGACCTTGGGACAGGGGCTTACTACAGCCCGGGTCCTAGAATGTATCCTTTCACAGGTGCAATGTAAGGAGGTGGAATGATGGTTCATGTTCACCTACCTGCTATTGAGGACAGGATCAGAGGTTATGAAGGTGAGGACTCTAGGGTTAAGTGAGTTTCGGTATCTGATGGACCTTAAAGGCTGGAAGCAAAGGGAATGTTTCATTCAGGAAATAGGATCGGAAAGGGACTCCTTTCCAGGAGTACCGCATGTTCATAGGCTGCTCTGCACTGCTGCTCCTGAAATGCCTGGCCATAGGATGTCTGCATGTGGACCATGCAGACCATTTGCAAGGTGACACACATGTTTTGTGTGTCTGGGTACAAAATGCTTCTGACAGTGGCTTGTTTCCACAGAGAAAGACACCCACACGGCACTCGGGGTCCCCACACTGTCCATAGTGGCTTCCACCGCCAGCTCCGTGGCCCTCATTCTCCTCCTCGTGGTGCTGTTCGTGCTGCTGCAGCCAAAGTTGAAGTCTTTCCATCACAGCAGGTGAGCCCAGTGGCCTACCGTGGGGCCAGCCTCAGAGGGGCTGAGGGTTGCTGTGCTCTCCTCACTTCCGTGTGTGTCCAGGAAGGGGGAGAGCCTGTCCTGTGCTGAACGCCTGGCTGTACCTGGCATAGCGCCTGGTGCTTTGCATATATTATCAGTCCTCACAGGAACCTTACAAGTGAGGAAAACTGAGGCTCAGAGAGGTTAAGTTGTTCACTCATAATCATACCTCAGGAGGACAGCAGAGCTGAGATTTGAACCTAAATGTCTTCAGTACCAAAGCCATGTCATTTCTCACTACACCAATGATTCTCAAAGTGTGCTTTCAGCAGCATCAGCATCACTTGGGAACTTAGGAATGCCTATTACCAGGCTCTACCCCAGACCAGCTGAAAGAGACGCTCTAGGACTGGGACCTAGTGCTGGGGTTTGCCACACCCTCCAAGTGATCCTGATGCGTGCTCATGTTTGCTAGCCTGTGTCCCATACTCCTGGTTCCCACCCTGGCCGCAGAGAGGCACCTGTGGGAGTTAAAAAAATGTATATATATATATACACCAACCTGGGCTTTCATCCCCAGGCCTTGGGTTTATTTGGTTTAGAGGGAACTCTGGCATTAGCTTTTGTTTAAGATATTTTTGCTACAGGACTTGTGTGCTTGTCAGAGAGATAGAGAAAGAGAGAGAGAGACAGACAGACAGAAAGTGAGAAATCACCCCCCAGGGGGAATAGCCATGCCACAATCCCTTCTTTTCTGTTCTCCTCTCAGGATCTTGGGCATGCACGCACACACACTGGGGTATGTTTCAGACTGAGTTCAGGACTTGAACTGCAATCAACCATGTGGGAGTCCAGTGCCTTAACCACTGTGCCACCTGCTGGCCCTTGGCATTAGCATTTTTAAAAAAGTTTCTCAGCTAGTTCCAGTGCAGAGAGACTGAGAACCACTGCATTACTGTAGAGAAAGATGAGGAGGGCTTTCTTGCCTGCTTGTCACTTGCCTTTTTCTAGTTTAGCACATTGGCCACAAGTCATCCCAGCCTAGGCTAGGTGGCAGTGGTGGGCCTCAGATGGAGCTGACCCTGAGTGTGTCCCCATGATGGACTTCTCTTCCTGGATGTCCCAGCTTCCGGAGCTGCTTGGCTCATCCTTGTGGCTCCTCTTCTCATCTTGTAGAGTACATTTTTTAGAATGTTTTTATTTTCCAGACTTTTCATTTTAAATAAATATTTAGAATAACTTTAATTAAATAAGTTTATAATAAACAGTTACATATTTAGGTATGTTTAAGAGTTGATTGGAGGTAAGGGAATGCCAATTGTCCAGTAAGTGTAAAAGATGAATATACAGGCCCTTATGCAGAGGATAATTAGTATGGGTTTCCTTCCTACACAAAAAGCACATGGACATTAATGACTTCACTCACTATGACTGGCAGGTGACCATATTTTGATACAGTGGCCTTCTACCCCAAAAGAGTTAGCTTTTCTCTACACCAGCAATGACCCTAAGGACACACAGTTCCCACTCTCAGCTGGGAATCCCTCCTGGGGACGAGGTAAGCAGGCACTGATCAGCTGGGCCAGCCTGGCCCTAGTCCCTACAGCGGTGTCCACACTGAGCATCACAGCACTTACAGAAGGCGGCCATTGGCTCATCTGCAGAGGGAGCCTGAAGCTGCATGAAGTACATTTGAGGATGTTCTCTCTGCACACTCAGACGTGGCTCTGCAGTAGTCAGCATTCGCCCAGGCTGCTGCTTCCCCAAGCATATCATCCACTTCCTTCAGCTTTGAATACTTCTGGTTTGTCACTTTGCAAGTGACGTTGCTCACTTAGGGGAAGGTGTTGCAGGCAAGGCGGTGGCAATGCTGACCCTCCTCTATGATCACCCCTTTCCCAAGCTGAGTCGGTCAGAACGGCAGCCTCGGACCTGCCCGCAGGCTCCCACAGAGTACTTTTCAAATGTTCACTTCCAGCCTTGTATCGGACACTGCTATAACATAGGCATGAAGGGCTGCACTAAACTGTGTTTAAAGTAAAATGCTCTAGGTTTGAAATTTACAGATAAGGACTAGGCTAAGTTTAATCTCTATGAACTGTGTGTGATTTTTCTTTTCTTTTTCTGAAAGGTGAGAGCCAGGGACTAGTGGTTATTTTTAAAGACCACTAACAGAATAAAAAGATTTGAAGGGGATTATTTATTTGAATCAGCTATTTCTTCACAAAATCTAAGTGATTTATTCTGCATTTCGTCTACATTAGGGTTTTTTTCTCCCCATGTAGTAACTTAAGTCTGTTAAAAAATAACTGAGTTTTGCCCAATTTGAGTAAAGAAGGGAGATTTAGTGGCCCGCCTTGTGGCCTACTGTTTAAGGGAACCAAACCCCACGTGGGCAACTGCATGTTCAAATCCCAGCCCCAGCAGCTTGAAAAATACATCAGGCGTGCGTGTGTATCCCAGATCTTGACAGGATGGAGAATGGAAGAGAAGGGTTTGCAGTGTGAACATGCCTCATTATTGGGTACTTTCTCTCTCTCTCTGTCTGTCTCTTGGACGCTCTGACTCTGGTAAGCACATGTGCCCTTTTGCAAAAAAGAAGTGGGGGAGATTTAGTAGACCCTATCTGCTAAGTATGGACCTCATTTGAATGTATGTGAATGTACCATTTACATGTATTTTTTTTAAAAACAGCAAAAATTATTTTGCATAGCAAATGTCAATATACATACTGCTTTCTGTGCCACTTTGGCTTGAAAGTTTACCTTTTTTCCAGAAACCTCTGAGCGCTTTTAAGGGTGCTACTTTTCTCATATTCACAGTATGTATATTATTTGAATTAGTACAGATTCTTACCTCAAGTACAGGTGAGGAAATTGGAAACTACCCACAGTAGTCAGCAACAGTAGCCTGGTCTGACCGTAGACCATATGTGTCTTCTGACATGATGCGCTGTGTTCTTTTGTCCTTGGGAAAAATTGACCTGAAGAAAGAATCAGACACATCCGGGTCGGGAGACATTCTAGGAGACAGCTGGCCTGGATTCTTCAAAAAGCGTCTGTGTCATGAAAGAAACTAGTATGCCATTCTAGATTAGAGGAGATGACAATTAAGTATAATGCTTGATCCTTGATTGGGTCCTGGATGTAAACAGAGGAGACTGCAGCTGAAATGATATGTTTTTGGATAGTTGGGAATTTTGTTTTGTGGTATTACATCAGTGTTAAATTTCTAAATTGTGATAATGTCATAGTTATGGAGAAGAGGTGTGTGCTATGTCTTCACTGTATTCTCAGATGCTTCAGGGGATAAAAAGGTGCATGTATGTACAACAAAAGCGACCTCCCAAAAAGGTGTCTGCATGAGTACATCTCACTCACACACACGTTGAGTAAAAGCTGCCAGACACACACACACACACACACACACACATAAATTTACTCTGTATCTTAGTCATATAAAGATAAAAAATATGCAGAACTAAACTGTAGTGATGGAAGGACTCATAGTTTTGGTATAGCTATTAAAATCAAAAGCCAAAGAGTAGTTTTCATGAAAGTCAGGGTAGTGGTACCTTTTAATAGTGAGAAATGGGAGTGTTGGGGCAGGCATGAGGTGTCCAGGTGTAGGCCAGGTTCCATTTCGTGACCTCAGTAGGGATTATACAACAGTGTTGTATATTTATGCCAACCTTTGGTATAAACCAGTGAGCTCTATGTAGATTTTTCTTTTTTGTATTTGTGTTATAATTTACATACAATTTTTTAAAAGTTTACAAAGTTAAAAAAAAAAAAAGGAAAACAAAGGGGCTAGGTCATAGGAACAACATTTTTCTGATTTCTTGTCTCTTATCCCGTTTTAAGACCACGGTGATTTCTCCTCTCTTTTTGTAACCATCCTCAGTAGGACAGTTCACATGCCATACACTGCAGGGTACCCATTTGATGTGTCCAGTGAGATGGATCTCAGCACATTCACAGACCTGCGCCATCATCATGCATCGCGTTTACCCAGCTGTGCTGAATCATTCCCTTTTCTCCAGGTCTCTAGGCTCCTAGTTTTCCCTCAAGATCAGAGGACGAGGTACCTTCATACCCAGAGGTTAAGAACACAGCCTCTGGGGCAGGTAGAACGGTAGAATCCAGTTCTTTTGGAGAGGTTTTTGCTATAGGGCACGTGCACTCACCAGAAAGAGAGAGAGAGAGACAGAGAGATAGAAAGTGAGAAATCACCCCCTGGGGGGATGGCCACGCCACAATCCCTTCTCCTCCATTCTCGTCTCGGGATCCTGGGCATGCACGCACATGTGCCTGGTGTGAGTTTAAGCTGCTGGGTCTGGGACTCGAACTGTGGTTGGCTACATGGGAGGTCAGCGACATAGCCATTATGCTAACTACTGGTCCCTAGAACTGGATTCTAATGCCAGCTCCACTCCTTAGCAGCTGTGTGAATGTGGGCAACTTACTTAACTTCTCTGAGTCTCAGTGCATTGTTGGTGACTCTCTCCCTGAAGGGCTAAGGTGAGGAGGTGTTTAAGCACTTAGTGCTGTGCTGGCATACGGTACAGGCTCAGAAATGGTGGCTGGTGCTGAAGATAGTGTATTTATTCACCTGTGTGCTTATTCTGCATCTTCCCTTGTCTTCCCCTCCTCCAATCCAGGCGTGACCAGGGGGTGTCTGGGGACCAGGTCTCCATCATGGTGGATGGAGTCCAGGTTGCACTACCATCATACGAGGAGGCAGTGTACGGCAGTTCTGGTCACTGTGTGCCACCCGCAGACCCCAGGGTGCAGATCGTGCTGTCGGAAGGGTCTGGGCCCAGCGGGAGGAGCACACCGAGGGATCAGCAGCTGCAGGACCAGGCAGACTGCTCCTCTGCAGGTGGTGAGGATGAGGCTCCGGGCCAGTCTGGACTGTGTGAAGCCTGGGGTGTCAGGGGCTCGGAGACTGTGATGGTGCATCAGGCAACCACCTCCTCCTGGGTGGCCGGCTCAGGGAACAGCAGACTGGCGCACAAAGAAGCCACAGATTCAGAGAACAGTGACATACAAAGCCTTCTATCCCTCACGTCGGAGGAGTACACAGATGGTAAGTGGTCTAAACTGAACAGAATTCCTTGCAGCTCAGGATCCTTGCTGGGAATAAGGAAGGGCTGCTAGCCTCTCCAATGATTAGTATCTGATGAAAGAAAGGTAATATCAATATCTGGGTTATTTAGCTGACAAAATATAAGTTCACCGCCAGGGTATCAGATAGGGCTGTGGGCTCGCTCTAGGGAGACTTTTCACAGTCATAAGGCTGTGCTACAAAAGACAGGCAGCAAGTTAGAGTGGGGTGGGGTCTGTCCTGTTGTCACAGTTGAACTTTCTCGATAGGTCAGGAATGACAAGGAGGCCTGGAGTTGTATTATAGGGAAGAAGGAGCCTGTCTGTCTTCCAGAGGACTGACAGGAGTATTCCAGGCTCTGTGTGTGTTAGTTTTCTTGCACTACCTTAGTCAGGTCTCACACTGATGCTTAGAAGTAGGTGTTCGTTACCATCCCCGTTTCACAGCTGCGGAGACGGAGGTAAGTCACTTGGCCACTGGTACATGGCTGAACTGATATTCGAAGCCAGACGACTCTGTCGTCCAAACCTCCATTTTTAACCGCCTGTTGCCTCTGAGGTGACTCTAGTTCCTTTGTAGCAGGTCAGCCATAGAATAAGGTGACTGCCTCTTGACATTTCTGTCTTCGCTGGAGCCCGGTTTGACCTTGGGCTTTAGTCTGTCTCTTTAAAAAAGATCTTTAAGTGAAATTCCAGTGTCGTTCAGGATGTGGGCTAAAGCTCGATGTTCCCCTTCAGCAGTTAGGATTTCTGCACTCGGAAAGCCTCCCCGGAAGGGCCTCAGAGGACACTTCTTGCTTCCTGGCTATCTTGGGCACAGTACATAACTCAAGTTTAGGCAGTTGGAAAGCAAAGAAGTGATCGGGATGTCTGAAAAGTCATAATTTTTGCATAGGAAAACAGAAAAATACATCATGACTTTACTGACAACATCATGGAAATTTTTGAGCACATCATGTTTGTGGCCTTTGTGGCTATCAGCAGCTTGCCTTCTTTCTTCTTGGTTGGCTAGAACACTAGCAGGGGGCTGTGAAATCATTGACCCAGGTTTCATTGTGGAAGCAGAGACTCTCTGGATAGTCAGCCCCGTGTATCCTGAGATAAGCAGATCCCAGCCCTTGTCCTTGCTAAGGGGCCAAGATGGGGCGCTGCTCTGCTCTTCCTCACTGCTTTGCGTTGTTTGTGTTGAACGGGCATTTCTGAGAGCCCTGCTTGAGCCTGGTGCAGTCTTAGGTGTCAGGGGTGATGCAAAGAAATAAGAAGCATGTCCTCTTCTCGCATGGAGTACCAGTCAGTTGGGAAAATGATGGGGTGAGGCCTGTTCTTGAGAAATAACAGAACCAAGAATTGTAGGGGCCGTGTCAAAATGAAGGGTTCAGAAAATCAGGCTCCTAGGTTAGCGAGTTAGTTTGTTGCAGGCCCATCTGAGCCGTCTGGGACTGATGATATCATAGGCTGTCAGGAGGATTAGGATACTTTGTGGGGACTGAAACCCAGAGAGGGGAAATGATTTATCCAGGGTCACAGAGCAGAAGTATATGAGCAGGGAACTTTATTTCTGGTTGCCCTGGAATTGGGAGTGTTGCCCAGAGACCCACCAGGTAACCACTGTGCTCTCTCCTGTCCCTGCAGATATTCCACTGTTGAAAGAAGCATGAGGGCTACTGCTGGCCTCTCCTCTCTGCAAGGGTCCTGCACCCTTCCTCCTCTTCCCTGCGGGTTTGAGCACCCTGGACTCTCCAGCCACCCTACCCAGATACCTGAGCTGCACCTGTGTATCTGTGTGTCTCTGAGGGCTTACAGGCCCACGTCGCTGGAAACTCAAGGAAGATTCTCGCCATCTGCCTGCTGGACAGCTGGAGGAGCTGGCTCTTTGCCTGGCCCAGCCTTCCCATCTGCTGGAGACATATTGTAATGTGCTGGATCGAACCCTCCCTTCCCCGAGCCTCCAGGACCTTTCCAGCCAGCTCGGTGGTGGCAGCCCTCACTTGCCCCCGTGGGCCTGACACCGCTGTGTTTACTCGTGCCTTCCCCCGACCCCGTCCATTTCCCTGTCACGCAGGCTTGCTGTCCACAGCCTTTGTGACTGCACTCCTTGCCCTCTACCACGTGGGGGCCAAGCCTGCATGTTCTGAGGGTCGACACCGCTGCCCTCCTCGAGAGCGGATCCAAGAGGGAGTGGCTCTAACTGGGGTGAGAACCTGGGTCCCTGGGTTCACCCTGCATTGATACCAGTGGCATATCCTTGGCCGAGGGTGGAGGGTTTGGAAAATCATGCCAAAGCCATCCCAGCACTCGACTGTGCAGCTCAGAGGAGCAGGCTCTTGGCCCTGCCGAGTGGAGAGTTTCTGAGGAGCATCCCGAAGATCCCTAGAGAGGGAAAGAAGGTGGCTGAGAAATGTCTTCCACATATGCAAGTCCTTACACCCTGCATCCAGCATTGGCCTTCCTGGCTTGTTTTCCTCTGCTCCCAGAGTGTAAAGGGTGGTAGCTTGCTGCCCCCTGGGTCACTCCGAGTGCCTCTGGCTCCCTTGCTCAGGAGCCTGAGATGAATCACACCTGGAGCATGACATCGCCGAGACACCCTAGAATGCCCTCTGCTCACGAGAGTCCCAGCAAGTGTCCCTTTCTGGGTTTGTGGTGATAGAGGGGAGGCCGAGATGCACAGGTGGAGTCCCTGGGTGGCTGCAGGCAGCTCCAGCCCAGCCCACAGCCTCAGCACCACAGTCACGTGCCTTAGTAACTGTGCCAGGAAGTGGCCTGCTGCCTGCCCACTGCTGCTTTTCCTTCCTCTGCCCTTCCCTGCCACCCCTCCGCATGTCACAGCTGATGGCAACTCATCTTCCTGGCACCTGGGGGAAGGGGCTGAGAACCCTCTGCACACCCCATCCTTACCAGCTCAAGGTGGGTGCATGGGTGCGGAGCCAGATCCAGAGGCCCTTCGAGGCTGAAGCCTAGGGTGCAGAGCGCCTGGAAGAAGAGTCCAGCGATGAGGGACACCAGGCACTTCTGCTGGGGCCCTGTCCTCAGCCATGTGCTGGACACTCCCAGGCTGGGCAGGAGAGCCTGCCCGGCTGCTGTCATTCTTCAAAAGATGGATGTGGCATTAAGGAATGTTTGCTTTTGCTTTTTTCCCTGACACACGGGGCCTAGGATCTCTGAAGCTGACCCTGTGCTGCGCCTCTGCCCCTCCCCCAGCCTCTGTGTTTGGGGTGGTAAAAATAATTAAGCCCAGTATGTTTTCAGTACCTGACCTAACAGGGTTTGCTCCAGGCGTGGGTGGCCTCAAAGATTAGAGGAGTTGCCTTCTCTTGCCCACTGCCTCCTGCCTCCACTGTCACACAACGCACTTTACTCCCGGTCGTTCCTGGCCTCTTGCTGCCACATGCAGTCCCCCTTCCTTCCTCTCAGGGTATGGGCAGTGCCTGCTGTGCCTGCCACCCCCCCCCCAGCCCCCAGGAGCCCTATCTGCTGTGCCCAAAGCCCAGGCAAGTGGGGTTGGATAGGGAATAGGTTGGAGAAGGTGCTAGAACTAGAAGGCAGCGCCTGAGGGAGATGGGACTGGCGTGGGCACACCTGGAGGGGCTCCCTAAGGACCCCGGCCACCTTGCTACACACGCTTTCCTTCACCCACAGTGGTGCCGTTGTCTTCCTCCAATAAGAAAGCAGGGACCAATGGGGGGGGGGGGAAGATCTGAGATGTCACGCTGCACCTTCAGCCTTTATTTTTCACTATCCCTGAACCTGAATTCTAGCCTAGAGTATTTTTCTAAATGGGAGATCTTGCTCTTTTCTATTGTTACTCTGGGTTTTGTTCCCGTAAGAGATTGCACTTTTCTTTTGGGTTTATTCAGCCACACAGGTCACCTGCTTGACCCTCCACCTGCTTGACCCTCGGTTAGTGAAAAGCCTTCCTTCGGAAGCTTCTCCATCTCGCCCTCCATTAGCACTGCCCAGGTGCACCTACCTGGTAAGAAAGTAGTCTCCCTCCCGCCCCTCCCTCTTGTTCCCTGCTTTGATGAGGCCCACATCCTGGAACCTCCTGGGCCTTGGGAGCAGGGGCTGAGTCTTGGAATGCTGCTGACATCTTCCCACAGTTGTTTCTCCCTCCTCCAAAGCAGTTTCATCACCATCAGCCAAGTAAGTGTTGCTGTTCTGGGGCTTCTGGGCTTTGTCCCCTGCCGAGAGATTAGGGACTACAGAGCCATAGTGAGGTGGAGCCTGACCCGGGAGATGAGAGCTGGTGTCTGGTGGCAGCTGTTAGAAAAGAGGCTGCCTAAGGAGCCTTAACAGGCGGGGGAAACTGCCGCAGCCCTGCTTCCCTGGGCTCTGCTCTAGGGGAGACCAGCAGAAGATGTGTCCAGGAGACGGACAGCACCAAAGGACGTGTGGTTTTTTGTTTTTTTGCACAGTTGATCTGACTCGCAGTTTTATATCCTGGTGACTTGCATCACATTCTAGCGACTTTCAAGGGCCAGAGAGAGTATGGTGAACTCACTTAAACCTTGCGTCCCTTCCATGCCTTAGTTTAGCAGGGCTTTCTCTTTGCTCTCTGTATTTGATGTGCTGTGTCCCATTTTGCTGGCAGTTAACTGTGAAATGGGCTGAGTCCTGGCCACTCTGCATTTGTTTGGTTGATAAGGGATTTCAGTGTACATTCTAGAAGCACTCCATTTGCAAATAGTACGTCTTCCCGTGCATCTTGCCCTCCTCCCCCCACCCCCAGCTTTAAAGTTCTGGGAGAAGCTGGACAGCAAGACAGACAAAGGTATCCTCCTGCTTCATTAGGGGGCCGGGCAGAGAGCACCGGGCCTTCTCTGCCCACCCCTGCTCTGCTCTCGGAACACTCGCTTCCTGTATCAGTGTCACCTCCACTTCTGCAGTGTCCTTGCATCGAGAATGGAATATGCCGCAATCATTTCTACATCCTTGCGCCTTTCTTTTTTTCTTTTTTAAACTGAAAGAAAAAAGGGAAGATAAATGACATTGAGGCTTCACAGCTTAGTTCCAGATGTGCATGCCTAGGGCAGCAAGGCTGAGAGCTTTGCTCCTGGGGCCTTGCTGGGCCTCCTGGTTCTCAGCATATGGTCAGTCATTCCTGGTGCCCGAAGAAGGGGCTTGGAGACTATTTTGCTTGGTGCAGTTTGGGCTGAGTGGTACAGAGCTGGATCCCCAGAAAGGGACAGGTGGCAGGCCCAGCTTGGCTGGGAAGTGACTCCTAAATTCCACTTGAAAACCTAGTAGAATTTTGAATGAAAACCCCAAGGTTGAGCCCTCTGCCAACTGGAGGAGATGCAGAGCAAGCACTCGGACCTCCAAGCAGGGAGGAGAGATTGATGGGGGTGGGGCAGCCCCCACACCCTGCCCCGGCTTCTTAAGGTTATCGCACCACTATGGAATCATTTGCAGAATGGTACTTATGTAATGGTTTAAACAACACATGCATAATTGACTCTGTGCAGGATGTCATTCAATCAGTTTGGTTTTGCTTTTATTTTATTTTATATATATATATTTTTTGGTATCCTGTACATTGCAGTGGGTGTGAAGATAGTATTTTAATATTTGTACAAAGTTTAATTTAATTTTAATTGTTCTATGTATATAACTGCATTTCTAAGTAATAATAATAAAAAAGTTCTTATGAAGGCAGTTGTGGGAGGTATGATTCTTCCAGAATGTTCTTTCAGAAATTCTGCCTTGAAAAAAGCATACACATGTGGGTAGAAACCTGTGGGGGCGGAAGCACTACCTGTGGGTGCCTGGCAAGAGGTGGTTGATGTGGGCCAGGGAGGTGGTCTGTGGTACAAGGAAGAGGCCACAGACGTGAGTGGGCATGCGTTGCCTCTTGTTCAGGTGCTCTCAGTGCGCCACACGCTGGGCCCAGGCTGGGAACCGGCAGTGAACAGGATGCTGTGGTTTGGGTCTGCGTTTAATGCAGGTGGACTGGGCAGGAAGACCATCACAGACATGGGCAGTGGTTGTGAGTGGGGATGTGAAAGGTGCCATGGGGTGGCCGGGAAATGCCTTTCGGATGAAACGGCATTTAAGCTAAGATGGGAAGGGGCAGTACGACGAGGCTAGGGACAGGACCCCACCTGTGTGTAGGCGTGAGGGCAGCAGAAGGCACATCAAATTACAAACCAAGAGGGCTGGCTCTGGCACAGTGAACTGGTCTGTGTGGAGAACTGAGGGTTGGGCCCCCAGTCGACCTGTACATGCTGGGCACCTGCACCCATGATCCTCTCCTGGCCGCTGGGATGATTTGGGGTGGGGTTCGCCAGGTGACACTCTGCTGAGGGTGCTTGTCTTCCTCTGGCCTCTTTGACTATCGTGGAAGAAATGGAGGGAGGCTGGACCTGGATGGCAGAGGCCCTCATCAGCCAAGCTGGGTTGCATACTGCAACCTGAGGGCAACGGGAAAGCCTTAATGGTAATAAGCAGGTTCGCTTTCGAAGCACATATACTAAAATTGGAACGATACAGAGGAGATTAGCATGGCCTCTGCACAAAGATGACATGCAAATTTGAGAGTCGTCCCACATTTTTAATAAAAACTGTAGTAAGCAATGGGGACTTTTTATTCCTTTCCTTTCCTTTTTTTTTTGGGGGGGGGAGCTCCCCACCTGCTTATGAAGAATGGTGTTAGGGGTTAAAACATACTATACCGGGAGACCTTGTCAGAAGTCATTGAGTTGTTGGTCTTATCGATGTAGAGACCGTAGCGGCTTCCACTAGAGTGATGGGAACAGGGGTGAGGAGAAATAGGTGAATCTGAGATTTTATGAAGAGGTAGAATCAATAGGGTCTGGTGACTGACTGGCTGTAGGGAAGGAAAGGACAGGAAATCACTCAGCATCTAGCCTGAGCAGCTGGGTCAATAGCCACACTGCTCTCTGGAACGGGGAAGCGGGCAGAAGGAAAGAGGTTAGCTCAGTTGGGACACGCCAAGTTGGAGGTGCCTAAGTGACAGCCAGGTGGAGTTGTCCAGTCGGTGGTTGAGTCTTAGGTCTAGAGACCAGAAGGGAGACCAGGCAGATGCAAATGGGTTTGTAGCAGCAGACGGCACATTTGAGAGCACCAAGAAGAGCTATAGGTGTCTGGAGGCCACCGGAGGGAAGGACTCCATAGCAGTGACCAACTTCTTAGGAGGGGAATGGAATGCCTGGGTTTAGAGATATCCAGCAAAGTGGTGGGAATATTCCAGATGAGAGATGCTTGCGGTTGAGGAAGTGGAGCCATGAAATAAAGGGTTATATGTGAGGGCGTTCAGTTGTTTAATGGGGGGGGGCTTAGTACTTCTAAATGCCAGTGCCGAGTGGGGAGGTTGAGGTCGGGGGCAGGGGAAGGGTGGTGGTTGGGGGTGGGATTCTGTTCCCTCACAGCTACTGTGCAGGGTTACAGGGAGGGACTCTGGAACTGGGCTGCTTAGTTTTGAATCCATTTGACTTACAAGCTGTGGGGTCTTGAGCACATTATTTGACTCGTAGGCCTCAGTTTTTCTCATTCGTAAAGTGGAGATGATAGTTCCTTATAAAGTGCCACGTGCCAGGGTCTGTTCTCATGGATTCAGTTTAGTCCTCAGTACAACCAGGCACTATGCTTAGGGTGGAGATAGAAATGAAAAGCAGAGCACATGCAGGTCAGGGCCAGCAAGTGGCATGATGGTTAAGGGCACTGGACTCCCACATGGGAGACCGTGGTTCTAGTCCCAGACCTTGCAACTTGCTTTCTCATTTTCCCTCTCTCTCTCTCTCTCTGTCCCAGAATGAAAAGCAGAGCACATGCAGGTTAAGGGCCACTGTCAGGCAGCAGAGCCCAGCACCAGGCAAGCAGTTACCTCAGGCATCAGGGTAGAAGTGGAGGTATGCACATGGGACTTTCGGCTAAAACAAAATCAGGCCACTCTAACTTGTCCTGGAGGTGCTGGTCGAGCCATGTATCTGTAATGCACAGTGTTGAATGGGAAAACATTTTGGGGGCACTTGTATCAACCCCCCAACCACTCAGCCCTCCCCTCAGTAGCACCTGCCCTCAAGGAGCCTCCAGTCATTGCCATTGGTTGGGGGACGGGGAAGGAGCAGTGTACCCCTTACTCAGCACTTCACCAACTTGTGAAGTAATGGTATCAGGACCAGCAGCTGGCGTGATGGTTAAGGCACTGGATTCCCACGTGGCCAACTGACATTTTCATTTGAGAGCACCAAGAAGAGCTATAGGTGTCTGGAGGCCACCGGAGGGAAGGACTCCATAGCAGTGACCAACTTCTTAGGAGGGGAATGGAATGCCTGGGTTTAGAGATATCCAGCAAAGTGGTGGGAATATTCCAGATGAGAGATGCTTGCGGTTGAGGAAGTGGAGCCATGAAATAAAGGGTTATATGTGAGGGCGTTCAGTTGTTTAATGGGGGGGGGCTTAGTACTTCTAAATGCCAGTGCCGAGTGGGGAGGTTGAGGTCGGGGGCAGGGGAAGGGTGGTGGTTGGGGGTGGGATTCTGTTCCCTCACAGCTACTGTGCAGGGTTACAGGGAGGGACTCTGGAACTGGGCTGCTTAGTTTTGAATCCATTTGACTTACAAGCTGTGGGGTCTTGAGCACATTATTTGACTCGTAGGCCTCAGTTTTTCTCATTCGTAAAGTGGAGATGATAGTTCCTTATAAAGTGCCACGTGCCAGGGTCTGTTCTCATGGATTCAGTTTAGTCCTCAGTACAACCAGGCACTATGCTTAGGGTGGAGATAGAAATGAAAAGCAGAGCACATGCAGGTCAGGGCCAGCAAGTGGCATGATGGTTAAGGGCACTGGACTCCCACATGGGAGACCGTGGTTCTAGTCCCAGACCTTGCAACTTGCTTTCTCATTTTCCCTCTCTCTCTCTCTCTCTGTCCCAGAATGAAAAGCAGAGCACATGCAGGTTAAGGGCCACTGTCAGGCAGCAGAGCCCAGCACCAGGCAAGCAGTTACCTCAGGCATCAGGGTAGAAGTGGAGGTATGCACATGGGTCTTTCGGCTAAAACAAAATCAGGCCACTCTAACTTGTCCTGGAGGTGCTGGTCGAGCCATGTATCTGTAATGCACAGTGTTGAATGGGAAAACATTTTGGGGGCACTTGTATCAACCCCCCAACCACTCAGCCCTCCCCTCAGTAGCACCTGCCCTCAAGGAGCCTCCAGTCATTGCCATTGGTTGGGGGACGGGGAAGGAGCAGTGTACCCCTTACTCAGCACTTCACCAACTTGTGAAGTAATGGTATCAGGACCAGCAGCTGGCGTGATGGTTAAGGCACTGGATTCCCATGTGGCCAACTGACATTTTGAGTCCCAGACCTGGTGGCTTGAAATACACGCTAGGTACGTGTGCCCAAAATCTCAAGAAGAGAATGGACAAGAAGGGATTGTGGCATGGCCATCCCCCTTTGGGCGTAATTTCTCACTTTCTCACATTGTCTCTCTCTGGGGAGTGCACATGCCTTATGTCAAAAACCTAAAGAAAAGTAATGGTAGCAGTAGCTGATACTTAACTACACACCAGGCGGGATGTGCACTCATGCAGCTAGCTGAGGGATGTAGCTGCCACTATTGCCCATGGCTGCATGCCACGTGTGAGTAACCAGGCAAAGGAGGCAAAACCATGTCCACGCCAGGATTGCGACAGAGAAGGACAAGCATCTGGCAGGTGCGGCCAGGATTCAACTCAAACAGGTGGTTCTGCAGGGCGGCCCCCTCCCCTGTCATTCCTACCCCATCAGACGCTGCCTGCCTGCCATAAACCCACCTGCCTGCCTCAATCCCACCTGCCTCAGGCCGTCCTCAAGGCCCTTGTGGGTGTTGGCATCTTTCTTCTGCCTTTGAGTTTCTGTGCTAACCAGTGAGCTTCGGATAGAGGGAAACACTCTCAAATCAAAGCAAGGAAATGGCAGTTTTCACTCGGATCGCAGCTCTCCTGGGGAGGAGACATTTCTGCTATGCAGAGTGTAAAACCTGAGTTCACAAAGCAGCAGGAGTTGTTACTCCATAAGGAAAAAAAAATAGGAAAAAGAAAGGCTGCCTATTTCTGTGACCAGTCTTCTCTCCCTGGAAAACAGGTGCACATGCATGTCCCATCAGATAAGGAATACTGGGCCCTACCATGGTCAGGGACTGGGAGAGCTGGAGAGGGTGACATTTCAGCCTGGAGTCAGCTGAGGATCCGTTGCCTTTCCCTTGGTGACAGGCCAGGAGGAACAAAGGTAACCAAGCCGTCAAACCTGCAGAGCTGCTCTGGAAAGGGCTGTCTGAAGTGGTTGACTCCGATGTGGACAGTGGATGGCAGGGAGAAAAGGGATTTCCTGCCCTGCTGCAGAGCCTTCACTTCCTAGTTTGGGAGATCAAGACCCCCTAGACAACAACAAAAGTAGTAATCTCTCAGGTGGGTCTATCTCAGATGTCTTAAAAAAATATCTTAATATACGCAAAAGTAATACATACTCATTTTTTAAAAATCCAAAAAGACAATCTCTACCTCCTATGAGTGATGTACATATGTTTAGTTTTCTATGCCTCTAATTGTTTCCTTAATGAAATTACATTTTAATACAGGTTGCAACAGTATTATCCAAAATGCTTGAGGCCTGAAGTGTTTTGTGCTTCAGATCTTTAAAAAAATTTATTTCTGGCCCAGCCTCTGTGGTACAGTCAATGCATACCCATCTATAAAGCTGGAAACCAGATGCTGACCACAGTTGGGAGTCCCTGGCCCAGTTGATTTGAAAACATACCTGGCATCTGGGCAGGTGCCCAGGTGGGCTGGAGGACTGGAGGAAGCATCACAGTGTAACTGGACTTTGAGGGTACCTCTCTTTCTTTCTCGTGAGCGTATATACACTATCATGAATGGACTAAAAAAAAGAGGTTACTTAGGGGCTGGCAGGTGGTATGGTGGTTAAGGGCGTTGGACTCCCACGTGGCCTACCACAGTTCAAGTCCCAGACTAGTGACTTGCTTTCTCACTTTCTCTCTCTCTTTTCTCTCTCTCACTCTGTCCCTTTCCGGTCAAATTTTAATTAATTAATTAATTGTCGAATAAAATAATTCTTTAAAAAAAATAAAAGATTTCTTCTTTCCTGAGAGAAAGACAAACATCCTGAAGAGGGTCTCATGCTACGATCCTCCCCCAGCCTTCTTAGCCAACCAGATCATAGGTGGGTTTATGAGTGTGCACCTGGGACGTTCAAATGGACCTAGGAACCAAATCCAGATCTTCCGTATGGCCTCCAGCATGTAGATCAGTGTGCTGCAGCTGAGTCACTGCAGCTGAGCCCTTCTACATTTTTATTAATGTAGCCTTTTATGTCTGGCTTTTTATCCTTTTTTTTTTGGAGAGTTTTTTGCTATAGGGCACATGCGCTCAACAGAAAGAGCAAGACAGAGAGACAGTGAGAAATCACCCCCCAGGGGGGATGGCCATGCTGTAATCCCTTCTCCAGTCTCCTCTCGGGATCTTGGGCACGTGGGCATGCACACACATGAGCCTGATAGGAGTTTAAACCACCAGGTCCGGGACTCAAACTGC